CTTTACGAGTGCGGCTTCTTAGGTTATGTTAGCTTGGCTCGAGTGTGCCAGGAGAGGCTGCACTTTCTCTGCACGCCCACGTACCTTCATTTAAACTCTACGTGATCGGGTGCATCTATGGAGTCGAATGCCGAGGTCGTTCTCGAGGTTCTTGCCTGCTTCTACAGTTTGATACCGTGTAGGTGCGAATACGCCTACGCTACCGATTCTCTTGATTTTCTTGGAATACCTTCCGCTTGGCTAATGGCACTTCCGGTGATCGACGCAATCATCTGGGGGAACTCACTACTTCATGTTCAACAGTGAATTCTGTGAAACTGCTTGAACTTGATTTTTTCATCGATCTAGATTTATCCCTCGACTTTCTTCCTACTCGAGATAACGCCAGCGTTACTGTCTTGTAGCTTTATACATTTTTGCTTTAGGTTATTTTTAACTTGTGTCTGTCCCGTTCTACGTGCCACTTCGGGGATTTAACTGTCTCTCTCTCTCTCTCTCTCTCTCTCTCTCTCTCTCTCTCTCTCTCTCTCTCTCTCTCCCCTCTCTCGTCCTTTCTCCCTCGCTCTCTATCCTGTTCTGGTCTTCCTTAGGTAGACATGGATGAATGCCACGCGACGCCCTCGTCATTCTGTTCTGTTACAAGAAGATAAACAGAAGATAGGATAGCAAAGGGTTTCTGGCTTCAGATTTTACTACAGTGCCGAGAGTCTTAACACTGGTTACCGTAGGTGCCTATTGGGAGACTAAGCCTTTTTATTTAAATCATATACGATTCTATGACTATACGCATCCAACTAAGAAAGTTGCTCAGTACTATACTTATAGAAAACAGTATTACTATTACTTTCTGAACTACGAGCTGTAAAATTATTATAATTATTGCACTTGAGTCATTCAGTGATACGCAGATTTACATTAGATTAGGTATTAACTTTCACATCCAAGCGACGTACTACGAGAAAATATTTTTATATAAATTATTTATATCCATTTTATATTAATTTGTATTCGATGTTCTTACAGAATCTTTAGGGTTTACAGTCACCCTTCATGGAAATTGTTCCAGAATCTTATTGTGCTTTCTGAAATTGTAGTAGGGCTGCAATGAATGCTTAATGAAGTTCAGGGGCGTTCCTTAATTCTGCATTGAATAATTCCCATTACAAATAAATCCAAAAGGCTTTGTAGTTTAAACGGTAACCCATGGTAACCCCATGATGGTCCCAGACACGTGTCCCACCAGCTTATAAGTTATAATCCAGCATTGAGCTTAATGGGACGAATAGTTATTCCATTCTGGTCCAGTACACAGGGCCCTTGGTCCTATCTGACGTAGTTAGGTTGGCGCCGAGGCACTCCCTTATCTAGGATCTCATCTTAAAACTCAGATTATTACGTAAACCTAATTTAACGAGAAGAAATATATAGGCTTTTCAAAGAAAAAAAAAATAGGAACATACCCACCCTTCGATATCTGCGCCCATTTCATCCCTTTGACAAGGCATCTATATAACAGTCTACCAAGTACTCTACGGCACGTACCCTCCATTTACGAGGAACCTCGTACGTTCACGAATGTGTAAAAAATCGCGTTACGACGGTCAGAAAAAAAGATTATATGTACATATAACGGCTCGTGAGCTAGCATGGTGTCTATCGGTACTCGTAAAGTGCAGCGCCACATTATCCCGTCCTGGTTCTTTAGGGTATCTTCAGGAAGTGCAGATTCGTAATATTACATTTCTCATGGGTAGAAAGAAAGAGGAGACAAGTGGTATCGTCCCCCATATTACACATATACTCAACAGCCAAGGTCCTACACGTGTCCAGACCACCCAACCCACCCTTGACAAATTTCAGACTGACCATTATTCCGGTTGAACGAAACCAAATTCGATCTGGAAGCTCCAGGCGAATTCCAGGAAAGTAGATTCTCCCGTCGTAGACACTTGCCTAATTATCACCCTTCCTAAAATAATTCGAGCTGCTCATGTCAATCGAATTAAACGAGGAACGGAACTGTGACGCGTACTATTTCTATACGTATAGGGGTGGGAGATTTCCAGACTCCTGATCCAACCATGTCACCTACCCTATCCGAAGCCTGCTGATGGGCACCCCCGTAGAGTGCAGTCTACTGTTCCGTATTTGCCGCCCTTCATTTGCAGATAACCACTCGTAAACCACCAAACAATTGGTAGAGTCTCCGATACTACCCTCTCTCGAGCGTTCGACAACTAACCACCCCCCCCCCCTCTTCTTCCGATCGCGCATGCATCCCCTAACCGACTGTCCTACCTACCGCCGAATTCTCTAGTCTGCGTGAACTCCGGAATGTCCTGCAGCTAGAAAAGTACAGGCTGCGCCCAGCAGCGAATTCCTGCAAGCAGCTGTCTCGAGGACCACTGCTCAAATAGTGTCTGGGGCTACCGTGCGTGTTCGAGCATTCACATATTCCACTCCCGAATGTAAACAACCCCCTGTCAAGGGTGTGATCTTCTGTATCCTGTTGTCGAGACAGACCACGTGTATTCTCAACACCCCACGAGTTTCTTGGTACTTTTTTTTTCTTTTACATCCCCTAGCAAATTGAAGAGCGGCTTTGATGCAAGGAATTTGCCTAGCCGCGTTTGGAGTCGTATATAATTTACTATAGCGTACTGTACTATAATACCTTTTGTCGGTATTAATTTGTTTTGGTATAGAGAATGCACGTTCCTTGCAAGGGTTAGTTTTTTTTTTTTTTTTCGGACTCACGTATATACTATAGTTCTACAGGACGCCGTATGGTTTTGCTCGCTGCCACGTAATATTATCAAGCGATCTTTCGATTCTTGGAATCGTTCTATACTATAGGTCACGATCACTTCCCAGGCTTTGAGGAATGTCGTACTCGCGAATTACGGACGTTCCAATCGGTCTGCGCTCGACAATTCCTTCCGTGCTGCACGCGACAGAAACAATAATGACACGTAACTCGGCACCCTTTGCTCCTCGACATTTTGTCATTATCTATCCAATGAACACTCGTTTAGATTAGAGTCCTAGCAGACGGTGCTATGTACCAGGCCAAGCGCGAAAGACAGTTGTCAAGTACAGAGAACAACAGAGAGAATTTATACTGAATTCATTAAGTACCCGACAGGCATTGCTTTACGTTTATCCTATGCAGGCAACGCGTTAGGTACCAATCGTTAGGTTAGGAATGTCATGCGAGTATCGACTACGTAATTATTACGCGCGACGACATTCGTGCCGTAAATTACATGAAATTTAAGATTTCAGAGTGGATTGGACGAGTCGGACTGCCGTGCTATTTTATCTTGGCTCCTCGGGTACTATTAGTTGGCAAACCATCTTAGTCTCTGTGTATAAGTACCTTAAGGTACTTTACTCCGCCATACATATAGCTACCGCACGCTGCGATACTAGACGAGTCTCTTGTTGAGGCCGTAGCTACGCGTAATTGGCAATGCGGAATTGCCACGGCAATTACGCCATCGTAGAAACGAGCAGCTATCGCTAGGCGGAGCTCGCTAATTCTTCTCTTGAAGTATTTAACGCCGAGGCGGAAGTACCTAGAGCCTTTCGTTCTGTGGTAAGAGGTTATGGTACGGGACGGGGTCATTCATGTTGCGTTATGTCGCTATTATCAATATATTTCCATGTATGCGATTCCGTATAACGAACGTGTGAGCCAACCTAACCTTAACCCAACCTAACCTAAACCTAACCGCGATTGATGTATCACAACGGCTGCCGGGTGCTACCGGGCATAAATCATTGAAATTCGAGAGAAATCATTAAATGACGATGTGGCACTGCTCGCCATTACTCGCAGTGATAAAGAAGATTATCGTTCCCCTGCAATCGTCATCGTGTTAATGGCCAATGATGGGTTTATCGCTCGTCGCTACCGATTATTATAACGAAACGGCGTTGGGTCGTTAAATTTCGACGATTCGCTATGCTCTGCACTCGTAAACTCTAAATCGTAAACCTCTATTTTCTCATTGTATAGTATATGGACACTCGGATATATATTCCACCGTAAACCAAACTCTGGCCGTCATTGTTCGACTTGGACCGTTTGAATTTTACGGGGCGCGAAATCCCCGTGGCTTTTCAAAATTATTGGAGTGTGTTCCTTTAGGTAGGTTTTTTCCTTTTTTTTTTTTTTGGCGTGTCCGCTTCGCCATTTATCAGCTGACGTATAATAGGAGTGGACGGCTTGCGAAGTGGATGACAAGATCTGCTGACGTTCTTACAAATAAACGGCCGCCATTCGTCAAGGATGTTAACCGTTGACGTCTCTTCTATCAATTGTCCCTTTTACGCGTGTCACGCGCATTCGTCACGTTTCATTTGAATCGATCGATAGCGATACCGGTACAAGGGAGGAAGAGAGAAGTCAAATGAAAATGCAATAATAGGTAGCTGAAGGAAAAATATGACGAAATGAAAAAGTACGCGATGCAACTGCGCACAAAGTACATAATTAAACTGGAGTACTTTAGGTACCTAGAGAAACACTCGCACCCAAGTGGTAAGCCAACGTCATTAAAATTATCTCCGGGTTCTGCAATTGATGCATACGTAGCATTCTCGGCGTGCCTATCCCGTTACGAGATAGCGAAATCCCGCAAAAATTCTCTCGCAAATCCTAAAAGTACTGACGTAATCGTTACACGTTCAAGCAATTTGGAAGATGAAAACCCGAATTGAACAATACAATTACAGATAAGTTTTGCGTATTAAGCGAACAAAAAAAAAACGTTTGCTCCTACCGAAGCTTCATCCGGCTAACCTCGCGAAAGTTTTTCTTCAAAAGTTCTTCCTAGCTTCCGCTCAACCCTAACGGGCTTCCGGAAATCTTAGGCGAGGCGCGATTATGGTAATGCCGTTGCCACGCCATGTAATTATAACGCGATTATGCAAACTTCGGCTCTTGCTATTCAGATTTGGTATTAACCGTGACTTTTTGCTTTTTGTTGTTGCAGCGATCTGAGATCGGCCATGTTGGAGAAAGGACCGATGACTTTGCGACTGAGAGTCTACGCTTGCTACGCGTGGGGTGGTCCGTTACTGGTCGCTGGGCTGGCAGCGCTCTTGGATTATCTGCCACCCCAGCCTGAATACAATTTCCTGAGGCCACGTTTCGGCGAGAAACAGTGCTGGTTCTATGGTGAGTAACATTCGTACTTGCGGAACATCTTAATGTAATTTATAGGTTAGGTCCACGTTATGTCTATAGACGTGTATCCATGGCATCCGCGGATACGTGTACTTTTATGTAAACTTTTTTTTTTCTTATTTTTATAAGATTCCACCCTTGCGTTAGATGGAAGTCGGTACAAGTTGGCCAAAGTGCAAGACTCATTTCTATGGTGGTAAATCAGAATAATGGCTTCCCATGGGAAAGCGGGCAGACTATTGCGAGTCGTTTCGTCGTAATACAATGCTTCTGCTGAAACAGATGGGGGAAGCACCATACATGGTACAACCCAGAACAGGATAGGCCGAGACGATAAGGTATAGAGATAAACCTGGCGCCAGTCAGCCAGTACCTACGTACCTACCAACCCCTATAGTGCGAAATTACCGACCACCATCACTATAGTCATCTATCATAGGTGGTATTTATGGTGTTCTATAGAGGAGAGTGCCCTGTTGTACATCCACAAAGAGACCTGCCAAAAACTTACTAGCAATCTATTTCGGATTAAACTCCCTTTGTATACGTAAAGCGTTATCAATAGAAACCATCCCTACGTATTTTCAATTATTATCCTGCGCATTGTTTCTTCTTCGGTATACATTAAATTCTATAGATTTCTTTTTACTTCAAACACCGCGTATATATCGTTCAATACCCTTGTAAATAAAAGAAAATCTTAAGTGCACCATTCACTAACAACTCTTGACCCTCCACTCAATTTAACAGATTCCAATCTAATTTTCTTCCTCCCTTATCTTCTTCCACGTCATTTTAAGCTATAGTCCATGCTATAGATATACGACCTGCACTGTAATACCTGCGAAAAGTTATAACGGCAGGTCTCTTGCGTTGCATGTTAGGTAAAGTGCATCTAGATGCACTTCCGCGATAACATTCTTGGGACGAGTTGATTGCGATTGTTAACTCTACTATATGACCAGCACGATGACGACGACCATCTTGGGTCACCTATGTCGAATTAAGATGTTAGAGGCACAGTCGATTAAATGGGCATCGAATTGACAAGTGTCCCTGAATAGTTTTCTAATTTTATTCTTATATGCGTTGCGATGTTATTTCCCAACAAACAACAAATTTCACCAACCTCTTCGTCGCAAAACGGCCCTGGCGGGAGCTAATTTGGACACAAAAAAAAGTGCGGAATGTCCTGAAAAATTTCTCCCCCCTCCCCCCCCCCCCCCCCCCCCCCCCCCCCCCCCCCCCCCCCCCCC